CAGTAGCCAGGAAATAAAAAGTATATTGCAATGGGAATGTCTGCTGTTAGGGACGGGACCTCTCCAGGGTACTGAAGAGCAATGATGTCATTCTGGAGACTAAGGTGCATCTGATACAGGCTATGGTCTTTGCAATCACTGGTTATGCATCAGAGAGTTGGACAATGACTAGGGAGGATAGAAGGAGAATTGATGCCTTTGAGCTGTGGTGCTGGAGAAAAGTATTGAATGTACCATGGACTGCCAAGACAACAAACAGATTCATCCTGGAGAGGGTTAAACCAGGCTACTCCTTGAAGGCAAGGATTCTGGGGCTTCGTCTGACATACTTTGGACATGTTGTGAGGAGGGACGGGTCCTTGGAGAGGGACATCAAGTTTGGGAGGGTGGAGTGATGATGCAAGAGGGGATTGGCACAGAACAGGACAGGGTTTAGGGCTGTTGTACATAGGGTTACTATGAGTCACAAGCGACTCGATGGCACATAACGGAAATAGTGCTGGGCTAAGACTGCAGCTGGCTTGGAGGCCCTGTTCCACTCTGGAAGATGATTTCTCACCTCTTGATGAGGGTCACAGAAGAAAGGTTTTTGGTTATTCTGTTATTGGTTTTGTGATGCACATTCTTTAAGTGGTACAGCAGGCATCTGTCTATTTACTGTACTGAAGTAACTTAGAGTTGCTGTGATGCAAAACACTGTGCCATCGTTGCGTCAAATGCCATAACGGTTACCCATCATGGATGTGTTAGGAAGAGCTTCCAGATTGATTCAGGTTTGGAAGCATGAGTGGCATCCACTTCTTAAACCATATGTTTCTGGAAACTCTAGGAACCTAGAGAAATGATGTTCATTATAGAACAGGGTTCAGATCTTTTATTCATAGGGTCACAATAAGTCGTATTTGACTTGATGGCACTTAACCATTGCTAAGTGAGACTAGTGTAGTTCTAATTTGTAATTCTTCTAAGTTCTACATCACTCTTCTGTCAATTTGCTTTACTGAGGTAATCTGGGTTTGCTGTGACGCTGAACCTTTGTCATTGGTGTGTCAAATGCCATAAGGGTTGCCCAAGGTGGACAGTGTTTGCTGGAACTCCCAGTTTTTAAGACAGGTTTGGAAGCAAGAGTGGCATCCACTTCCAAAACCACACACATCTGGAAACTCTATGAACTTGGAGAAACGACAATAGTTATAGAAAGGCATCAGATCTTTTGTTCATAGAGTCGTTATGAGTCGTCCATGACTGGATGGCAATCAACAACAACAACAACAGAGTCATGGCTTCCTTGGCTGATCCAGTCAAATAGCCTAAATTGTTTATGTCTGTTGTATCTCTTAGTTCATTGAATAGTCCCAAAGATGTTAAAAGCTTATGAGTGGCTACTTAACGTACAACAGCTGGGCTCTTTTTGGCTGAATTAGCAGAAGAAGGAGACTTAAGAGTCAAAAGAAAATGGACTTCAAGTCCAATTTTCTCCATGTCCTATTTCCTCCTTTGTCAAGAGACTAGAAAAAACGAATGGTACTTGACTACTATTACTGAACATTTTGGTCAAGGACCCAATAGATGGATCCTGATCAAAGGGGGGAAAGTTTTAAAAAGAGTTATAAATGTATTTCAAAATCAGACTTACTGGATCCATTAAGACTTAGAGAAAACCCCCCAAATCTATCCCTGAAAGTAATCTTTAAACCTTATATATCACTTGTCCATAAAGGCATTAGTAAACAAAACAACCATTTAGTTCAATACAGAATATCTTCCTTGCACGTTGTATGCTTATTTAAATAGCTGTAAGTTGACATTGGCAATAGTTAATCTAAAGCATAGATGAAAACTTTTAGGGACAGAGAGTCTAAATTAATGATGATGGAACGATATGAATAGAGCTAGTGAGAATGGTAACACAGTGTGAAGTATGTAACCAAATTATTAGGCTAAAAATAAAAATGGAGGTTGAAGCTCAACTCAAAAATCCTATGTCAGGATATTTTCTAAAACCAGAACTCAGAAAATCCTGTCAGGGCATTTTTCTGAAACCAGAACTCATAAAGCCTATATGTCGGGACATTCCCCAGAACCAGTTTTCCAAGACCAGAAACTTTATGCCCCAATAAGCCACTGTAATGACCCCATAAAAACCCCCAAGCCCAACCT